TTGGAAATTAGGACTGAATAAGAGATCAACTTAACTACTTGCATTTAAGACTTGTATTATAAACTTTGCTCATTTTAAACAGAAACCACACTGACTAGTTTTACGTGCCTTTGCTCAGGTAAAATCAGCCTTCATTGGAGTTTATTAATAGCAGAAAGATTTGGTTTCAGCCTCATCTTTTACTACTGCATCACTGTTAAGGAAGTTGGATCACTACACTTCACTTACACTTTTCTATAGAAGTTTTTAAACTATGCTGCAACATTCAGGGATTTTAGTTTAACACAAAGCTTTTGTAAAATGTTAGAGAAATCAAAGACAAACAGAAATGTAAATAGATGGTATTGTACAGTAATGTTATGGGCTGTGAAAGCCATTAATTTGCAATTGTACTGGTTTACTGCCTATTGAGGTATACAATAGGCAGTATACAATAGCTCTCCAGAAATATAAATTAAGCAAAAGTACTGTCACTCAGACTTTCCAATTAAAGGCTAGCAGAGCTCACTGCCACTCCTGTTTGTGCAACTACAACAGAGAAACAATTAGTGAAAAGGTAAGATACAATTCCAGCCACTGCATACATTCTAGTCTATTAAAACCTAGATATTGCAATAGCCTGTCCAAAAATCCACGCTTATCAAATGTACACTGTTCAAGCACGCCAGAGAAGATCTATTAAAATCTGAGGACAAACCCAGTATATTCTGGAGTCTGTTTTATAGAGATCTGTTCTGAATCCAAGTTCTCCAAAGCTCTCCTTACTTTGTAAAGAATAAAGGAAAAAAAAAAAGTCAGAAATACAAAAGGAGATGCTGTTAAAATCTTCCACTAGTATCATAAATTACTATCTCAGGAATGTTGTGTATAGAAGGTACTCTTATATTTATTTCAATCTTCATGCCAACCCTCTTGCAAAATTCCAACTTTGGTTGATTTGTTTTGGTAAGTTTAGTGGCTTATCAAACCTTACCTGAGGTTAACTTTTCTAAAGGGATAGTGAAGGGATTAATAAAAACTCTTTATTTCACCCTACAAAGAGAAAAGCTCTAAGATAACAAGGACACCAGACCTGCATTAATTCCTGCTAGCCTTCAGCCCTGTATGACAGAGTCTGTAATCTTTTCTGGTCAAAACAAAAAAGAAAACAAGCAAACAAACAAAGGTGTTTATCTGCAAAATGAAGACAACTGTATTTGCACTTTCTCAGGTATAAGTATACATGTATAACTCCATAACTTGAATGTTTTCGGCAAGTTGTCAATGCATGGCTTTTAACCATGAAGTGTTTAATACCATCGGGGACTGCAACATGAGGCAGCTCTTCTATGAAGACAGGCTGAGAGCATTGGCATTGTTCAGCCTGGAGAACAGAAGGCTCCTGGGAGACCGTACAGCACCTCCCAGTCCCCAAAGAGGCCTAGGAGAAAACCAGAGAGGGACTTTTTACCTACCAGAAAGGACAGTAGGGGATAGCTTTAAGCTGAAGGATGGTAGGTTTAGATTAGATATTAGGAAGAAATTTCTTACCGTGAGGGTGGTGAGACACTGGAACACATTGCCTGGAGGAGTTGTGGATGCCCCACCCCTGGAAGTGTTCAAGGACAGCTTGGATGGGGCTCTGAGTAAAACCTGGTCTAGTGGAAGGTGTCCCTGCTCATGGCAGGGAGGGTGGGGAACTGGATTAACCTAAAGGTCCTTTTCAATCTAAACCATTCTATGATTCTGTGTTTCCATTACCTACTATTCTAAAAGTAGTCAGAAATATTGAAGAGGTTTTGTAAGACATTTAAAACCAAACTTGTGGCATTAACAAGCTTGTGACATTTTGCACTTATTAAGGTATCACATGTCTTTTAAGATGGAAGAAGACTTGGAATGTCACTGTTCCCCAGAGTGAGACAAATGTATGACAAAATTTGTTTTGAAACAGGGAGGAAGAAAGCCAAAGAAGTCCATAACTTGCCTACAGAGTATTAAGTAATTATACACTTCATACTTTATAAGGCAAGAAAGAAGCACTTAGAAATTTTACACATATACTAAGAAGTAATGCTCCTACTTTCCATGAAATATTAGCATCAGATTACTGATATTAGCAACAAACTAAGTTTTATAGAAGAGAAATTAATATCTTCTGCAAGAGATAGAATGTTGCCATGTACACCTTCACTCACCCTTTGCAGCTGGGAATATAATGCTACATCCATTACAATTAGATTGCTTTACACTAGAAAAACAAACAGCCAGGAAAGCAAGATAGAGCTTATTACCTCACTCTCGAAATGCTACCAAAATATTGTAAAAGTGATTATTTGTGTAAGCAAGTTCCTAATTTTGGACAATCTTAGAACAAAAGAGGGACTCTAGTTTTCTTTGAATGTAAGTTTTAGTAGTTGTGAGAAAATAGTATATGCTGAATTCTGTAAATCACATGGATTAACTTGGTTACCGTGCAATTAGCAACTAGGTTGCTAACTGCATACAGCTCATCTTACTGTCCATGCCAGATTTTGAGTGTAGAGCCCATATATTCTGTTACATTTGCTGTGTACAGAAGCTCAAACCATCACAGTTTTCAGTTGCTTGTACTAGTATTACCATCAGTCAAGAGAATATTAGTATTTTTTTTTATTCTAGAATACTCTAAGATACTTTTAAAGCCTAACTGTAAATACTGTTTCCTTCCCAAACTCTATTTGGAAACTTTGTTTTCCTACAGATTTTCTAAGAAGAATGAATAGGTTGGAAAGTAGCATTTTTGAGAGCATTCCTTTTATTTTCTGAAGGAATTTACATGCCCAAATCAGATTGCTGGCCCCCATGTTGTTTTTTAAGAATAATGAAATACCAGACGTTGCTGAAAGTTGCTTCAGGGTCTCATACTGTAAGCTTTTGTTCTTTTCAATTAACAGTAGCGCTGGACTTTCTGGGACAACCACTCAAAGGCCTTGTTTATGCCCGAAAGTTCATGCTATCACTGCCTCCACAGCGTTATGTTGTACGGTACGAAGACAAAGCTTCATTGGTCTTCAATGTAAGACACAACTTCAGCTCCACACACTTGCGCATATAACCACTTTTGGGTTTGTAAATCCGCAGGGGAGGCCTGTGGCTCCTGCCAGGACAGAGCCGGCCTCGGGCCCGTGCCGGGGCTCCCGGAGGTGTCGCCGGGCGGGCGGGCGGTGTCTGGCTCCGCAGCGGGGCCGCTCTGCGCCGCTGCCGGGGGCTGCGCGGAGCTGCTCTCCCTGCCCACATCCGTCCGCCCCACAACGGGAAGGGCTGCGCTACTCAGAGAGGCAGAGGAGGCTCGGCGGTGGAGGACGGGCAGCAGCCAGGGGGATCACGGGCAGGGGCTCCTGTCACGGCGGCGGCAGAGGCTCCCGGCGGGGCACAGGATCCCGCCCTGCCTGCACGGCCGGGAAGGGAGGGCGGGAGGCGGGTGGAGGAGACACCCCCCGCCTTTATCGCCCGCACCGCAGCGGGGTGTGCTGGCTCTCCGCGCCGCAGAGGAGCCTTGTTGGGGGACAGCGACTTGCAGGAGCCCCGCTTATCCTGCCCCAGCAGGCTCTGTCCCGCGGACCGTGCCCCGGGGCTGCAGCCCGGCCCCGCCTCTCCCGAGGTCGATTCCGTGCTCTCGGCTCTTCTCCCCGCCGCGGCGCCCGACTTGGTTCAGCCCGGGGCAGGCGCTAGGAATAAGCCCTGTCCCCTTTGAAGAGCCTCGGTTCAGGCTCGCCTCTTCCCTCCCACCGCCGCTGCGCACTGCTCGGTCCCGACTGGGCCCTCCCGCCGGGGCGGCTCCAGCGGCTCCGGCTCCAGCTCCACAAGTTCCTGCTGCCCGTGCCCCGGTAGCGCGCACGAGGCTGGCCCGGCCGTCGGGGGCGCCGGGCGGGAGCAGCGGGAGCGGCAGCGGGAGCGGTGCCGGGAGGGGCGGGAGGAGGGCTGTTGTGCGGGAGCCGCCGATGCCGCTGTGAGATGGCATCATTCTGCGCGGCAGCGGCGGCGGAGCGCGGCGCGGAGGGGTGAGGTGCCGCCGCGGCGGCGAGGAAGCGAAGAAGAAGCAGAGAAAGGTGGAAGGAAGGAGAAGGAGGCGGCAGCAGCTGTGAGGCTGCGAGCACGGTAAGGGCGCAAAACAGGCTGTGCCGCAGCCGCTCTGGTTTGCGGTCTGGCCGGGCTGCTGTCCTCGCTCCTCGCCGCCGCTCGGCCGTGGGCAGCCAGGAGGGTGGGCGCTGGACGGCTGCGATCTGCCCCTGTCACCGAGGGGCGGGGAGGAGGGGAATGGGCGTGGGGGCTAAAATGGCGAAGGGAGCCGTAGGGAGGTCTCGGTCTCTCCTTTCCGGCACTTCCACTCGTCGCACCCCTCGGGCTCTGCTGGCGGGGGGCGGCGGCTGTTGCTTCTCCCCTCACGATGCCCCGCATGGTGTTCGGAGAATTGCTGTTTTTCCCTGCCGTCTCCCACTGTGGCTCGCGTCTGGACAGGGCTGAGGGCCTCTGGGCCCGCACCTGGCGAGGGGAGGGAGGGTCGGGGCTGTGGTGAGCCTGTGTCTCTGTGGGGCGGGGGGACAGGGAGGGGGAGTGTCGCCGGTGTCCGATGTCAGCGAATAACCTTGTTTATTCCTGTCTACGGCCTTTGCGAGGGTGACTGGGGGCTGAGTCGTGACCTGTGTCAACGCTGAGTGGATTGCGAGAGGCTTTAGTGGCCAGGAGTCAGTGAGGCAGCTCCACGGCCGGCCCTGGCTCGCTCATGTGCGGGGTGAAAGCAGAGGAGAAGGATATTGTCGCGTTTATGTTTACCTTCCTTTGGTGGAGCCGGGGAGGGAGGCGGTGAGGAGCCGTGTCCCCTCACGGTGCGCTGCTGTCGCCCCTCACGGTGCCGGGGACACGGGGGGTGCTCGGTCAGCGCTCAGGTTTCGGGTGTCTGCTCATCTCTCGGGGTCCCTGTGATGGGTGTTTGGCTGAGCACACTGTGGGAATTGAAGACCTCAAAAGACCTGTTTGTGTCCTTTATCTTTGTTTATGTTGTTGCAAAATGTTACAACTCGGTGTGTTTATTTACTTGATTTTATTTGTAGTTGTCTTATTTTTGGAATGATACCAATTCTCATCCCAGTTTAACTAGGATGAGCTAGCTCTGCTTCCAGATCTATAAATGTTTAAACTGTACATCAAAGAGAGAAAAGGACTTAACACCATCTAATTATTTTAATGAGAGCTCTTCGATGTTTGGGTGAAACTGTAAAAAAAGGTATTCATATTTCAGTTGCGCTTTCAAAGGGCAGCTGTGTCTTATAAAAAGTAATCAGGATACCGTGCATTGGAAAAAACTCAGGTTAGGCAAGTTTAATAATACTGGTTTACTAGGAGATGCAATCGCTGACTGCAGGTAGCTGGGTTATATGTGGACATACCTCTAAAAGACAGTATGATCTTCATCGTAATAAGTCTACTCTTAAAATTGGTATTCTGGTTTAATCTCTGCAGTATAGAAACAAAGGGACTGCTATTGGCTGTGGTAAAGCTTTACTAACTTGAACTGGTTGTATATTTTTAAAGAATTTTGTATACTGCCTTATCTGAGTCCGTTTGGTCAAGGTCTAAACTGAATAACAATTTCTGGTTGATTTAAATACTAATAAAGATTAAATCAATTTACTTATAGAAAAAATTGAGAATTTTTCATCCTTTTAAGAAAAATTTTACAGCCACAAAAGCACAATTTACTTGGATTCATGACAAAGATGCTTTCAAATGGGGCAAGTAGAAATACTTCTGGTTGATGCTGCCTGTGAACTTGTGGGTTTAGAATCCCTTTATCACCTCCTCAGTGTGGATTTTGAGCTATATTTTAAAGGTCTAGTCCTGTAAGTGCTTCTAGCTTGAGCAGCCTAGTACTATCCATGGACTTTCCCCAATGACACTGTAGAATAATTCCCTTAAACAAAAAATTATACTTGAAAGCTTGAGAGCTTTTGGACTGATTTATTCTCTTGGTATGGGACACTTTGTTACCAAAAGAATATGGATTATTTTTGTTTGTAAAATAGTTTACATTTGTTGTTTAATTTCAGTGAAAAAAACACTGTAAGTCAGCCAGTATTTTTTCGTTAAAGGGTTTTCAATAAACTTTAAATAATCACTTTGCCTACAAGTGCTTCTTAAATCACAGGAATACTGATGGAGCTCAGAGCCAACCCCTTTTCACGAGTCTGTGGAACCCTTGGAAGGGGAAGTGTCAGCTAGTTTTACTGGTATTCATCTTTTTATCTTTCAGTATGAAGTTGGAAATTTTGATAAGTTGGAATTTCTCCCCACTTCCCCGTTGTTTTTCATAAAAGAATGTGTGTGGGGAAAGAGATCCCTTCTGGGTTTGGGACAGGAAGAATCAGGAGCAAGGATCTACAACGGGGAGTTGGTATCGCATTCAGTTTCTTTGTACTTCCTATGCCATTAAAGCATTAGACTTGAAAATTAAGGTGCCATGATCAAAATATTATGACCTAAGCCATGCCTGTTAATTGGAAGTGGCTTCTCTTTATGCACTTAAGGTAAATACTTATTGCTAGCTTAAAAAACCCCTGCAATCTAAATCCCCCACAAAAACCCCCCAGTTCATTTTAGAATTGAGTTGAAATAACGACATGTGAAGGCTTGGTGAAGTAATGAACGAAGTGATAACCAAAATAAGCTTGCTGCAAGCTGTCTTTAAGTGATTCTTGTTAGTTCCTTTAGGTGTGGTAAAAAGACTCTTCCTGAAGACTGAAAAGGAGTGAAGCTACTGATAAAAATGTTCTCACTTTTAGGCAAGCATTGTACTGCACTTGTCTGCTTCTGCAGAGTGTAACATTCACCTGAATTAAAAAAAAAAAAAAGAAAAAAACCCTTCTGGCTCTGCCAGAAAATCAGTTGCATAGTGACTCAAAGTCAGAAAAGCTGCTCCACTGTGCCTGTAATAAAGTGTCTGAACTGGGGCAGGATTCCCCGGTTTCTATGGTAGTGTCATATTAGCAAAAATCCTGTTATTTTTCCTGTCCTTGCGAAACATGTAAACCAGAACTGCTGAACTCTTCATTTGGGTTCTGAGTTGTGCAATATAGTGACACTCTTCTATATTCTCAGGTCTGTGTCCCAGTGCAGGCGACAGGAGCTGGTTACATCCAGGTCCTTCTTTCCAAGTTTGCTGCCATTGCATCAGTAGGCCACATTCTGTGTCGGTGTTCATTCAGATTTACTGTGGTGTGCTGAAGTTCTGCTGTGGTTACATAAAGTGGCTGGAGGTAAGGATCATTGGAAATACTGGAGGTGTCACCACTGTTTTCTTGAAGAAAAATAATGTAGTTGGAAAGAGAAACCTCTTCTACTTATCAGCAGGAGTTGGGAGTGTCCAGAAGAGGCATTCCAAAGGCTTGTAAGAAAGATGAAGTCTTAGAGTGGTGCACCTTCTTTCCCTGCCCTGGCCCTCTTCCCTGTAGAGCACTGACATGGCACAGTTTTTGCTAAAATGTGCTATGATACCTTTAAGAGAGAGTAAGAGGGAGTTTTTGTTTTTAGTTGCTTTTGTAAGTGAAAAACTCTAATTACTGCTGCTTGTGATATCTGTTTGCTGTTTGAGGAGCTGCTGGTTTAATCAGAAGCGTATTTGAGTTTAGCTCTGTTTTCCAAGTGTAGTGTTGCTTTAGAGAGAACACTGGAGATTCCAGGGGAGCTGTCAGAGTGGTTATAGGATGTCAGAATTGTTTACAGGGGAGCGTGCTAGGTTTGATTTTGTTTTGTTTTCATTGCTTTTTTTTTTTTTTTAATTTCTTAGCATTGCCGGGAAAGTATGTCAGGAAAACCTTTAGGTTTCTTTTACATAGAGATTTGCTAATTATTGCACATACAGTAAGAACTAATCAATCATTGCAGGTTACATGACTGTACTGCTGTAGTTTTATAGCAGCCTATGTATGACAAAAAAATAATTCTATTTTGATTTGCTCTCCCCGCAGTCAGTGTTGGGAACTGTGTAAGTAAGTTGTTAATGTAATGTACAGTTTGGTAATTCAGTACTGTCAAAAAATCACTTTTAAAATCCTGTTAAAAGAGAGTATGGCTTTGGGTTTAACTTACAAATTCTACTTAATTTCCAAGAGTCAGCTGAAATTTGCTGAGCTGGTTGCGTTACTTTATAATGGCTTTTGACTAAAATAAAGTCATCAATAAAATTGGAGTGAAACATGTGTTTAACAAAGCAGATTATGTTCTTCAGTTTTTATTAACCACCATTTTTCTTTTCATTGGAGTATGTTAGATATGCTTTTGTTCAGCTTTAAGTGGCTAGCATCTGAGCATACTTAAATGTAACCAGTTCAAAACCTGAATACTTTTTTCTGAATAAAATTATCTGTTACACAGTAGGACAATCTCTTGATTTGTCTTACGTGTAAATAGCATTGAGAATGCAAATGCATATTAGTATCTGACCCCTCAAGTAGTTCAAACAGCATAGAATTAGTCCCATCTACTTCGATTCCATTAAGATTTTAGGCTTATTTTGCAGGATATTGTCTTGAAGATAGAGGAAAGCAATTTAAAAACTGATGAGAAGGGGAAGTCAGATTCTAAAGATAAGCAGCAAAATAATTCTGGTTTATGCATTTAAGTGTCTTCACCTTGCAGCCTGAAGTGGGCAGAGGAGAGCTCTCATCTGTGCTTCTGTGAGCCTGGAGAGCAGTAAACAGGATACTCTGCACACATTTCTCATCACTGGGGTTTTTAACCCAGATCTTTTGGTATAAGATCTGAATGGAGTTGGAGATTAGCAGAAGAATCCTTGAAAAAAGGAAGCAACTAAAAACTTCTACCTGTTCCTCATATAGGTGGGTGAAAAATATGGGAGGTCTTTGGATTTTATGTTCTATTTCAAGATCGCCAGAAATTCTCAGTATAAATCAAATCAAATGAGTTGTAGTTTTAGAATGGGCTAAAGTAAACAGGAAAGATAAAGTTGATAATCTGTAAAATTGCACAATATGCTTTGGCATCAAAACTGAAAAAATAACACATGTCCAGTTTTGAAACAGAGTGCTGTGATAGCTCTTGAGAAATTCAGAAAGATTTTTTTCTGTTTGTTGTTTGTAAGG